AAAAAAAAAAAAAAAAGAAAAGAAAGGAAAAAGAAGGAAGGGAAAGCTACAATTAAAAGGAAAAAAAACCCTGCCTGGGCATGGTGGCTCACACCTGTAATCCCAGCACTCTGGGAGGCTGGGGCAGGAGGATCAAAAGTTCCTCCTGGGCAAGTTAGCAACTCAGCAAGACCCTGTCTCAGAACAAAAAAGGGGCTGGGGATGTAGATCAGTGCAAAGGCCCTGGGTTTAATTCTCAGTACTACCAATAAATAAATAAATAAACCTTAAGACTACAGTGAGACTACACTGACAGTTTGACAAGTCTATAAAGCATGTCAAAATTGACCAAATTTTACAGTGTGTTTAGCTTAGTGAACTTCATTTTAACACAAGAACAGTGGTAAAGAAGACTTAGAAGTCCTTTATAGGTCTTTAATTGTGGATCTCCTCTGGGTCTTGACTTGAACAAACCAACTGTAAAACAAAAATAAGCTAGGAGATAATTTGGGAAATTTGAAATGACTAAATATTTGACAATACTGAAGAATTTTTGAGAAATTATTTTAGATATGGTTATGGTATTATGGTTATATTTTTTTAAGAGGCTTTATCATTTAAAAAGTACAACCCAGCCGAGTGTGGTGGCCCATGCCTGTAATCCTAGCACTCAGGAGGCTGAGGCAGGAGGACCACTGTGAGTTCGAAGCCAGCCTAGGCTACATAGCAAGTTCAAGGCCAGCCTGAACTACATAGTGAGACTTCAACTCAAAAACACCAAAAAAAAAAAAAAAAAGTACAACCCTAAAAATATTTACATTTGAAGCCATATGTCACCTTATATAATTTTCTGGGATTTTCTTCAAAATAATCCAGGGGCTGGGCCAGGGATTTAGCTCCACCACCTGCCTCAGAAGCGCAAGGTCGGTCCTGAGTTCGAACCCCGGTACCAAAACAAACAAACAAACAAATAAAAAATAATCCAGGGGCTAATGCTGGGTAGAGATAAAATGGGATTGGCCACTACACTCCTTCTGTTGAAGTTGAATGAAGGCTGTGTGGGGCTCACTGCATTACTTTTAACTACTTTAATATGTTTAAAATTAAACATGATAATCTGAAATGTTAGTAGAAAAAGTTAAAATAAAGGGAAGCCCTCAAGTATCTGCTTGAAATGAGAAACAACCTCAAGGCTCCGAGGTGGCTCAGAGTTACACAAAAAGGGCAGCTCACATTGAACACGAAAGAAGATCCTGGGGACCCAACAGGGGAGCCCAGCCAGGGGAGGTACCCAACGCCCCAATTCAAAGACTGAGAGAAGGCTCCACCCACATGCCAGCTTCCAGGATGAAAGGCCCACACGGACAAGTGGAAGGGCCATGCTGGAGGGAGAGGAACTTCCCAGGCGCTCAGCAACTCCGCCCCAATTGCAATCATCCTGTTTACCAACTGCCACACACCTTCTCCACCTTCCCAGTGTGAGCAAAGCTTGTCCAGCCTCAGTGGCATTGTAGCCCGTGGCCAAGCACACTGTGTCCTTCGGTAGATGCCCAATCCATGTTTGCTGAGTGAACAGGGACCCTCCTCCCAGCCCCCTGACTCCCACACGCAGTTTTCTAGCCTTGTGAAAGAAGCTCCATTCCTCCCATTCCAAGGAAGAGAGACCCCTTCTGCCCAGGGCATCTCACTGCAAGTGTGGCCAATCACTCTCCATCACATCCTGCAGACACAGGGGTAAAGGGACCACCAGCAGCAGGCTGCAGAGCAGCTATGGAGGCCCCCAGGCAGCTCAGGGGCTCTCCCCTGAGGAAGCTGCAGAGCTCTCCTGGAAGTGTACAGTTACCAGGCAGACTGAGCTGGGGACCTACTCACTTCAGAGTTTAACAATAAAATGTTTTCTAACCCCTTTATAGGTAACTTTAAATAAAGGAAAGGAAAATAAAAAGCAAGAATCTGCATTAGTGGCACCCACTCCAGCGTACTCTCCTACTCAGTTCCTTCGCAGGCCAGCCCCCAGGCCTACTTAACCTAAAATCAAAGGATGTCAATAAAAAGACCAAACTTAATCTCTTTTAGTAATTCTATTTTTCCTATGGGTAACTGGGCCCACCCCCATACACCCAGAAAACCTGAAGGCCTTTCCCTTAGCAGCCCATGGACAAGAGCCTCAGGGACGCAAGCCTGCCTAACCACCTGTGAGGAAGCCGCGGTGCATAATTAGCCAGGTGGTTGAAGAACAGGGGTGTCTATTAGAACAGTGCGGTGACAGAGGCCCCTGTGATTGGAACCTGGGGAAGCACAGGAGAAGGGATTTCACTGTGCAGTCAGAGAAGGCAGCCAATGGCAGGAAGACTGATCCTGTAGATGCACACCGTTTGAGGACTAGTAAGGACTCGAACCCCCAGGGAAGATTCTAAGATGAGCACACCTGTCCCGTGGCCAACCTCTATGGAGAGAAACTCCACACTCGCCTGCTGAGGCTAAGCAGAGCTTCCAGAAGTGAAGGGAGCTGAGTCCCTTCTACAGATGACCAAAACATTCTACTTTCTCATTCGACCAACAAACGTGGCTGAAACCCAACTAAGAACTGGACAGGGAGACACCAGTGTCCCCTTGCACAGACAACAGGTATATGTATGTGTGTGCCCAGGATATGACTGTTTCTTGAACTAGGATTTAAGCTCAGGGAAAGCAAAGAGGATGAAGTGTGTTCCTATTTTCCTGATGAACTCCCAGGATCGAACATAGTGCCGCACATATAGTGGCATCTAATAACCCCTGTGAAATGAACAGATGACAATGAAAGTTTCTGGTGAGCTACATGAGATTTTTACTTTCTTCTCAGGACACAGTTATATTTTTTAATTTTTTTGTTTGTTTATTTTTTGAGACAGGGTCTCACTATATAGTTCACGCTGGCCTCAAATTCATAGAAATCCTCCTGTCTCAGCCTCTCAAGTGCTGGGATTATAGGCATGTGCCATCATACCTGGCTATATTCTCTTATTTTTATAATGAACTTTGGGAAACTTATAAAATCCAAAGTAAAAAAATTCTACTGAAAGCATGTGAATCATAAAACTAATCATAAAAACCAGAAGTGACCTCAAGTAACCAGGCTTCTGAGGGCAGAAATAAGGGGAAAGTTAGTTCCGGTTTTCTAGGGAAACAACTAAGAACGTGAGGCCAACCACAGTCAACCTGAATTCTCCTGACTCAAAACCCCAGATGGATGACATGTCTGAGCACAGTCACACCATAGGGTAGGAGAAGTGGATCCACACTGTGAAATGACAAGGGAACAACACAAAGAGAGGACAGACAATATCTCAAGCAGGGGTCATAATGAAAAACACCCAGCACACCGTGTCCCAAAATGCCACCTACGGATGCCCACCAGGGTCACTGACCCGAGAACTAGAAAGACCCTTAACATGGGCCTGCCCTCCCTCCACACAGCAGAGGCCTCGCCAACAACTAGTTTCTTCCACCTGCATCTCCTATTCCTGCTGTCTCGTTGCCCCATGGGCTTTTAGGTTGCACCAGTGTTAAAAAGTTCTTGCCCTTTAGGAAACACCCTTCATAGCTATGCACAAAATCATGAGTTCCCTTCTTCTGCGGGAGTGAGCACCCAGCTCAGGTGAGGACGTGTGAGGCTCTGAGAGGAACACAATTCCTGCCTGGTCAGGGAGGGAAATAAGATACAAAGATGAGCACGAGAGATTACAGTGCCATCGGGAACACGCCCCAAGCAGGTCTGTAACTGACTTCCTCTAAATGCCACCTCAGTCTCCCACATTCCTGGCATTAGCCACACCAAACAACAATCCTCAGGATCAGTGTACTCACAATGCCATGCATTTGGGCCACCTTGCTGCACAAGTCTGGACGCCACTTCTGCAGGGCCAGATAGAAAGGATTTTTCAGGAGATCTTCATCATACAGAGCCATATGGACTTCAAAGGGATCAAAGGGAGTTTCCTGGGACAAGGGAGGAAAAAGCAATGAATGACCACCTTCAGGTTTATGTAATGCATAAAAAATTTTCTGGTCATTTCTAAAAAGCATCCTTGACACATACTATTCTGCTTCACAGTTAATACTCCACCAGCAAATATCATAGGTAATCTACAAATATCCAGGTGGCCTATTTATTGTTTAAATGTATAAACTGTGGCCAGGTGCGATGGTGCACATCTGTAATCCCAGCACCCTGGGTGGCTGAGGCAGGAGGATCACAAGTTCCAGCCCAGCTTGGCACCTCAGTGATTTAAAGAGATCCTCTCTTATGGTTAGGTAATGTTCCCCTAAATTAGGCAGATGTCCCCCTAAAGCTTTCTGAGCTCATAGGTGGGACATTTGGAAATGTAACTGGATTATGGGGGCTATGGCCAATTTGCTGTTGGGGGTGGGGCCTGGTCAGAAGAAGTGGGTCACTGTGGGCGTGACCTGAAAGGTTATAGCTCTCTTCCACTTCCTCCCATGACTCTCTGCTTCCCAGATGCCAAAAGGTAAGCAGCTCTCCTTGCCAAGGCCCTTCCACCATGCCTTCCTGCCTTGGAACCAGCCAACCATGGATTTAAAACATAAGCCAAAATAAATGACTCCTCCTTTATGCTGTGGGTGTCAGATATTGTGTCCCAGTGACAAGGAAAAGGAACTAAAGCATCCTCTCTCAAAATTTATAAATTTTCAGTACTAGGTTCAATCCCCCCCAAAATGTGTAAATTTCTATATGTATAAAAATGAAAAAATGTATAAATTGTGTCCAAACAATCTTGCTAAACTCCAACTTGTGATAAGAACAAATGGCAACTTTTTGCATGTCCTACATGACCATAATTATGACTTTATATTTCTTTTTTTTTTTTGATACCAGGGATCAAACTCAGGACCTTGCACTTTTGAGGCAGGCAGAGGAACCGCTGAGCTAAATCCTCAGCCCAATTATGACTTTATAAAGATTCACCTGTACACATTTTTGTGTGTGAGATGGGTTCTTGCTATTTTGTCCTGGCTGGTCTCCAACTCCTGGGCTCAAGAGAACCTCTGGCCTGAGTACCGTGTATCAGAGGAGACATGTACCCCCCTCCCATTATCTCCTTCCCTTTCAGAGGCAACCACTATCCTAAAGTTGGGGTGTACCTTCTTTCCCATGTTTCTATGCCTCTAACGGTTACATATCCCAAAACAATAAAAACTATTTTTTGTGGGTATCAACATTTACATGAATGGATCACACTATTACTGTTCTGGAACACACCCTTTTCAATCCACATTAAGTTTTGAAGTTCTACTCATGATGAGCCATAAAGCTCACATTTAGTCACTGACTTCTGTTATACAATATTCTTCTAAGTGAATGTGTCACAATTTACCTCACACCCTGTATTTATTCAAGTTTCTTCTACCTTTTCGGTATTATACACAATGGTGCGAGGAACATCGTCATGGCCTTGTATGTGTTCCCTGAACACGTAAGACAGGCACCAAAGGGGGATTCACCTGTGAATGCAGCAGAGGCTGACAATGCTGGATGACCCTCTACCTCCATGGAACTGTATGAGCATTCCTCTTCCTCACGCTGAGGTCACATCATGACTAACAATGTTTGCAGTCATCAAATCTGGGTTTGTTCATTTTATTCTCCTGCTGGGGAGGGAACCGAAGGCCTCACATATGCTAGGCAAATGCTTTACCACTGAGCTACAGCTACACCCTCAGCCCTTCATCAGATTGTTTCATTTGTCAGTCTGAATGTTCGTGCTTCCCCAAGTTTCACATATTAAAATCCAAAACAATTCCATATTTTCAAAGGTGATGACACTGGAAGTTGGAACCTACAGGTAGTAACTGAGTTACTAAAGCAGAGCCCTTGTGAATGGGACTGGTGCTCCTATAAAGGAAGCCTAAGAGAGCTCCTGGGCTCTGCAGAGGAGTTACAGAAAGGAAGGGGCATAGACAGAATTAAGATGTGTCATGTATATGTATGTAGCAACTCCCCATGATGAATGGAAACTTTATTTACTTCAAATGTGTACTCATAAAAATAAAACATTTTTTAAATATTTAAATTTAATTTTTTTTAATTTTCTGTAACTGTACAAAGACAGCCATCTATGAACTAAGCAGCAGCCCTCACCAGACACAGAATCAGCTATACCTTAACCTTGTATTTCCCAGCCTCCAGAATGAGAAATAAATTTATGAACAACAAAATGGTATTTTGTTACAGCAGCCTGTGACTATAAAGTAGCACTCACTGTTCTTCTCTAAAATAATCAGAGAAAAGAAAATTAAGTGACGTTAAACATCACTTCTTTTTTTTAAATAGTTTTTTTTTCTTTTTCTTCTCCCCTGTACCAGGGATCAAACTCAGAACCTCGCACTTGTCAGGCAGGTGTGGCGCCACGGAGCTAAATCCCTGGCCCTAAACATAATTTCTTTATGTTGTGTGAATTGCTGTATGTCTTTTGCCTACTTTTCCCTTGGTTGTTGGCCTTTTCTTGTGATTTACAGTTTTCTAGGTTGTTTTTTGTTTGTTGGTTGGTACTAGGGATCCAACTATAAAAGGAGCTACATTCCAAGCCCTTCTTTAAATATTTTTATCTTGGGACTGGGTCCTGAACAGGGCTTGAATGTGGGATCCTCCTGTGTCAGCTTCCTTCAGTGCTATGATTACAGGCAGGCACCATATAATTCTTTATATATCTGGATTCTCAAATATGTTACAAATATCTTCTCCTGGCCTATGACTTGTCTTTCCATTTTTCCAAATAAGTGTTTTCAGAAATATTTTTTTTATTTTATTTTAATGTAGCTGTATTTGTCAGCCTTTGCCTGTTATGGCCAGTGCTCTGGGGATCTTAGGAAATCTGTGCCTATCCTCTGGCATGCTTCTTTGCAGAGTGACTTCACCATTTTCCCTAACAGAAGGTGGGGTTTATTTCCCTGTTTTTTGAAACTGAGCCAGCACTGTGACCTCCTTCAATCCACAGAAAGAAATGACATTCTAGGGTTTTTCAGTGGCAGCCTCACAGATCTACTCTCATTCTCTCCACACCCCAAGAACAGCACGCTGGGATAAAGGCCATGTGATGAAAGACCAGCGAGGAGAGAGAGGCTCGGATGGTCCAGGAGCACAGCAAACCTGCCAGCAGAATGCACCCACGCAAGTGAGCCTAATGACACCAGCAGAAGAGCCACTCAGACGACCCCTCCAACAGTGGGAAATGATGAAACTGGAGCAGGTTTAAGGTTCTAGTCCTGAGTTGGTTTGTTATGCAGCAAAGGCTACCTGAAACCACATCCATCTTCAAAGGCATAAAAGACATTTTATGAAAACAAAGCTCTATAATGCATAGGGATCTTAAAAAGTTTTTCATGGTTCAGCCTTCAATTCATCTGGATTTTAATTTTGCATATGCTTTAACTGGACATTTAATTTTATTTTTCCAAGGGCCAGGGATTTTGAACAGTGGTTCCACTGCCTGCCTTGCAAGCACAAGGACCCCAAGTTCGATTCCTGGTACCAAAAAAATAAAAATAAATAATTTTATTTTTCCATATGGTAAAACAATTGTCCACTATCGGTATTTGAATGTTCTATCACTTTTGATAATGCTATCTTTGTCACATTCCCAGTCTCCATATGTGTGGCCTGCTTCTGGGCTCTAGTCTGTTTCAATGGTCTAGATCAGCACTGTCCAATGGAAGTACATGACAAATATGGCTATATCACATATAATTACATATATCAGTTTATTATATTTATTTTGCTTTGTCTTATCTTTGTTGTTTTCTTGAGATAAGAACTATGTTGTTGGGCCGGAGATTTAGCTCAGTGGTTCTGCCACCTGCCTTGCAAGCACAAGGTCCCAAGTTCAATCCCCAGTACCAAAAAAAAAGAACTATGTTGCTACGGCAGTCTGAAATTCCTATGGTCAAATGATTCACCTACCGCAGCCTTCCAAGTAGCTAGGCTTATAGCACACACCACGGTACCTAGTGCATACATAATCGCAATTTCCCAGTAGCCACATTAAAAAGGAAATGGATGAGATTAAATTTAATAATATATTTTATGGGGCTGGGGATTTAGCTCAGTGGTTTTGCCACCTGCTGCACAAGCACAAGGACCCAAGTTCGATCCCCGGTACCAAAAAAAAAAAAAAAATGAATATACACACACACATAGTACCTTAATCTAGCCAAAATATATTTTCAACGTGTAACCATTATTTTTACATAACAGATGACATATTTTACATTCTGTTTTATTCCTACTAAGTCTTCAAAATCTGGTGTATAGAGTATTTTGGTTTTAGAGCACTTCTCAATTCCTACCAGTCATATTTCAAGTGCTCAGTAGCCTCACGACTAGTGGCTATTGCGCTAGACAGAGCAGGGCCAGCACACATTTTATAGAACTACAGCTTTGCAGTCCCATGGAGACTACTACCACCTGGCTGCAGGATTCTCACACGGGACATTTACATGCCACCATCATTATATTTGACATACTGCAGGGCAGGGGATTTAGCTCAGTGGTTCTGCCACCTGCCTCGCAAGCTCAAGGTCCCGAGTTAGATCCCTGGTACCAAAAAGAAAAAAGAAGGATATTTGACATATTGCAAACCAATGGACTCCTAGTCACTGTTGGCTCACCTGGTGTCCTTGTGAGAATTAGAAAAAGGCATCTCTTCTTCCCAGCGCATGCAGTCCTGTGCCACGGCATATGGTGTGCTAAGGAGCTCTTAGCTGTGCATTGGCCCCCGAGAAATGAATAACCTGCACAATTATATGTAAGGGTTCTGTTGTTAGCGTTTGACATTTTTCCTTAAACATCCACTCTTTTTAGAAAATGAAACCTTAGTACTTCAAATAGAAAAACAGTGTCCTTTCCCATAAAGAAGATCATCTTAAAATTACAAAAACGATTGATGTTATACTATTGCCTGCCAAAGGTTCTTAGCTTCAGCCTAAACCCTTCTTCCCCTCTTTTATTTTTATTTATTTATTTATTTTTTTGGTACCGGGGATCAAACTTGGGTCCTTGCGCTTGCGGGGCAGGCGGCAGAACCACTGGGCTAAATCCCTGGCCCACTTCTTCCCCTCTTTTAAACACAGAAAATTAGCAACTATTAAAGAGCACCATGCAAATTTTTCCTTGATACAATCAGATGAATGAAAAACTGAATTACTTTCTCACTATATAACAATGTTCCCAGAATGTCTCCTTTGGAAAACACTAGAAAGTATACATAAGTGCATAATGAATTCTACCTTTTATGGTTAATGACAAAAACAGCCACCACTGAGGAACATCCTTGTTCCATGCACCGTGGTAACGTGTAGACATCCTCATCCCATTTTGATACTTATAATAATGTCAAATAGGTAGCACTGGCCCCAAGTCACAGATGAAGAAACTGAGGTTCAGCTGGCTGACTCAAGGTTATAGGATGTCAAAATGTATCCTAAAACTCATCCTTTAGCCGCTAGGCTCATCACGTAAAATTAAAATGCCTGGAAAAGGGTTATTTTATGGGCCACAGATGGACAGGATACTTTATGTCCCTGGATGGAAAAGTCCACAGGATACACAGACCCCATACCAAATTCCCTTTGTTCAGCCAGAGCAGTCTCGCCTGCAAACCCTCCTGGGTCTCCCTGAGGGAGGCCACTGAGCTCCGTGCAAATCCTTTTAGGAAGAAGAGTCTAGCATAAAAATGGCTGCAAGTAATCCTTTCCTGGGCCCACGGAATGCTGGCTCTGCAACTATTCAGGTATTTTAATTGCAGGATTCAACTATTACTAGAGCCCAGATGATCCTTTTATGAGTCCCCCAAAGAACTACAAGATAAATACATTTTTTCCAGGATAGAATCACAAGAAAACATTCTTCTCAGTTCTATGTGGCAGAGTACAACAGTCAAGATGTTTTGGATTAAAACCACCTGACAAACAAGATCCACAATACGGTCAGATTAAAACTGGGAAAGAACACTCCTGCTCCTCAGACATGACGCTGGCAGAACTCCAAACCTTCACTCCCCAGACAGAGGTAACAAGCGTGGGTTTCCCAGATGGGAGGTAAGGACCCAAGAGAGAAGAAACTGGCAGAGAGGGGGGAGGGGTGGCATGATGGAGGCATGCCAGGCAAGGACAAGAGCAGGACCAAAGGTTCAGGAGGCAGGCTTCCTGTAGGCACAGAAGAACCAAGTGGATTTTTGTAAAAACTAGAATCCAAGCAGAACCAAGCGTGGTGGCATACATCTATAATCCCAGCACTCTTGCAGGCTGAGTTAGGAGGATCACAAGTTGAAGACCAGTCTGGACAAGACCCTGTGTCAAATTTTAATAAAAACAATTAGGGAGGGCAGGGGATTTAGCTCAGTGGTTTTGCTGCCTGCTGCACAGGCGCAAGGACCTGAGTTTGATCCCCGGTACCAAAAAAAAAAAACAGGGATAGCTCAGTGCAAAAGCCCTGGGTTCAATTCCCAGTAACACACACACACACACACACACACACACACACACACACCCCTACACAGAGGGCTATAGGTATACCTCAGAGACAGAACATACACTCTGCATTCAAGAGCAAAGCTCTTGAACCAGCATTCATTCCCCAGCACAAAAAAAAAAACAAAACAAGTATCCAAGTGCAGCAAGTCAGAGAGGGGTACAGTAGCAAGGGAAAGAAGGGCCTGACTACCACAGTGAAACATTCAAGTCACACGCACCAAGTGTATAAACACACAAGGTTCTTAGCAAGTGCTGCTGCTGCTGCTGCTGAGCCTCATGTGATCTGCTTTCTCTTGAACATCAGTCTTCTTTGTTGGCAATGACTGAATCCAAGAGTAGGAACTCAAAGAGCTCTGCCCAGCACTATTCTCAACTCTTCTGTCCTGGAATGAACAGTATGTAATAATATCATACAATCTGGTGCTTAATGCCACAGATTAATTCTTATGTGTGGATAAATGCTTAAAAATAATTTAATATCCTGACAAGTTTACTTGGACGAATTAGTCTTCTATTTTAAAACAATATGCAATGAAGCTGGCTGTGGTGGTACATACCTAAAATCCCAACACTCGGGGGGCTGAGGCAGGAGGAGCTTGAGTTTGAGGCCAGCCTGGGCTGCCTGGTGGCTTGGACTACACAATAAGACTTAACCTCAAAACAAAACAAAACAAAACACCTGACTTTTCTTTATAAAACTAGAAAGTGAATTCTCTTATAAAATTCCTTTAGGGTCTGGGGGCTCAGTTGTAGAATCCTTGCCTAGCATGCAAGAGGCCCTAAGTTTGATCCCAGTACCACCATTACTCAATCATCTATAAGGAAAAAAATAATAATTCCATCCCTGCCTGACTTTACAGAAAGTCCAGTGAGTTAGTCAAAGATACCAAATAACCCTGCCCATGAGTTATCTGAGGTCACTCTATGAATAGGGAAGCCCTGTGATGCCTCCAATTAGGACAGCACTTTACGAGGCTGCATGCACACTCATGGTTTGTGGTCTTCAACCATTCTGCCACCCAGGATAACTCTGGGTAGTCAGGAACCATCTGGTGACAGCCTGCAGCCCAGCTCAGCAGAAAGTACCACAAGAAAGTCTGTGCCTCCCAGAGATGTACTCCTTGCCAAAATATCTCCATTGTTATTGTTGCTTCTACCCTTCCAGACTCCTCACCAAAGACCCTAACCAGGCATACTTTTCAACTGATAAGCAATTCAAGAAGAAAAAAGAAAATGTTCTATTCTTCCATCTTTAATGCCAGTGGAAGCAACTTGGTGACATAATGTATGCTCTCAGAGTCCTTCTGGCCTGTAACTTGTGTCCTTCTGGCCCGTCACATTTAGCCTGTCCAAATTAATCTTGTTTGTTTTTGGGGTTTTTTTTTGGTACTGGGGATCGAACTTGGGTCCTTGTGCTTGCACAGCAGGCGGCAAAACCACTGAGCTAAATCCCCGGCCCAGTCCAAATTAATCTTAAAGCCTCTCAGTAAAGCTTCAGCCCTGTATCTCGCTCACTGTAGACATGAACTGTCATACACTTGCACAAAATAACTGAGGTTTTAAGAGGAAGCTCAACCTCCCAGGGAGAGATTATCTCTCACAGGATCTGGAAATCCCTGTCTGAGTAGGTGAAGCGTCAGTCACAAAGGCAAACAACCCAAAACAATAAGGCCAGTCAGAGCTGGACAAACACGACAGCTGGAATGTGCAGGGTTACAAGGTCCCAGGCCTGGAAACAAGGTGGAACGACAGAGGGAGCAGGCCAGTTTGGAGGAGCAAAAGCACCCCTCAGAATGCCACCCCACCACCTTGTTCCTGGAGTTCCACCATGCACCCATCTCTCTGCCAGTATCTTAGGCAGTAAGAGCCACTTCCTAGTGTCTCTCAGGTGTATACTCAACAGGACAAACCAGGTCCAGATTCTTCTGGTCTGAATTCTTTCAGGTCTGATGTCTATCACCACAGTCACATTCCTCAGTGTCTCTGAGAGGATAGTTATTGGATACCAGCCTAATGCTCGCCAGTAATAAACAGGAGAGCCTCAACAGAGCAGAAACACTGAACAGCACAGTCGCATCGGTAACACAGGCCTGCCTAAGAGCTGCCTGTATGAGGACAACACAATCCTACAGGCCCCTGAAAGCAGTCAAGCCTTGATCCCAGGCCCTAGGCAGACACTGCCTGGCAGAATGACTTCAGGTGGCAAGTAAAGGCTGGGAGAGCTCATCCAAGGTCAAAGGAATATAAATCTGCCCAACTACAGGGCCCCAACTGCTTTGTCACTAGGGCTGGTGAAGAGATGCATCTGCTCCTGTCACATCCTGTTCCTCCTCCAAGGCCTAAGTACTCCACCTCCTGGATCTTACTCCCACCTGCCCTCCTGGATCAAAGTGATCCTTCCAAAAGCAGGGGTGCCCCTCTGCTCCTTATCAACTTCTCTCAATCTCTGTTTGGTGTCTTGCCTGTGGCCTCTGTCCACTTTTGCAGCCTCACCATCCTCAGCTGTCTCCAAAAGGATGAGTTCTGCTTCCTTTCATCCGTTTTGTCCTGAAAACCACTATTTCCCGTGAAGACTGTGGTCTGTAGGTGGCTGAGACTTTCCTCTCCAGAGTACGGCCAAGGCCCAGAGTGCCCAAGCTCTGCCTCCAAACCGTCAGTTCAATTGGTTAAAGGGCAGACCCCTGAATGACAGTGAGTCCCGGGGCCCAGCACTCCAAACTTCTTGGCTGCTTCAATGCCTGGCCCCGAATGGAGGATCTCGAAATGCTGATAAGGCCAGTTGAGAGCTGCGTTAATTATAATAGGACCTTCTCTCAGTGAAACCCATAAACTTAGAAAATTCCAGCTCATGTACACCCTGATACTCCCTCTTGTCTTGCCACCTCTCGTTCCCTGAATGTCCTAAATCCTTAGTGAAGATGCCCCACTTGCTCCCACCGCCTAGCATAGTCCGAGGGTGCCTGAGTCCCCTGCACTGCAAGGGGCAGCCAGAGGGGTAAGGCCTGGCTCGCACACCTATGGACAGTCCCTTTTTAACGAAGAAACCTAATAGGGTCAGAGTCTGGAGCATCCTTTGGTGCGCAAGTTTTCAAGAAGTAATCTTTACACAGGAGAAACTAGGAGAACCCGCCCCAGAGAAGGCAGGCAAGCAGGTAGGCAGGGATCCCCCCTCTGCCGGCATTCCCCACCCCCCACCCC